ACAAATTGGAAGATGCATTTTAATTCTCTATGACTTAATTTTTGGGGGAAAAAGATCCTCCTACTCGTGGAGGTGAATCTGTGCTGGTCAAAATATGAGCACATTGCATAACTTGCTATTATGATTTACTGCTTTGTAATTTATTGCTACAAATTACAACTAAACTTATGTGCCTACTTTAGATTAACTATTTCTCACTCTAGGGGCTTGGAGGGTTACCCTACAGTGGAGCACATCACTTAAAATGACATCTAGAACAAAACCATTTTCCTGAAGGACAAAAGTACAGCTGCACGTGACTCCCCATTAACATACGGAGCTGTAGTCATTATTTATGGGGGGGAAAAAAAAAAACAAACCAAAATAAAACTCAGAGATTGAGGAAAAATAGTTGACAAAGCTAGACTTGTGGTAATGTGAGTTTGAGGTATACTAGGGGGAGAGGTATTCCTGTAAAACTTGCACTGACTTTTTAAAACACGATACTGGTGGAAACAATCCAACTTACCCTAAGGCTTGAAGTATCTGACCCTAGTTAGATGACTGCTAGTAAGCAAAAGAATCTGATTAACTTGTCTGTCTTGTACTGAATTCTCTTCCCATGCTGGACATGATCAAAGTAAGAACATAGTAAATAAAAAAATTATTTTTATTTTAATCTTACAGTATTTTCTTGAATTAGACCTAGAAACTGGTCTGTGTGTATGATTTCTCAGTGTGATAAATACAATATTCTTGCTTATACATTCCATAAATAAAGACTAAAACCTGAATCTGTTGGTGACAAAATTGACTTTTGACTCTGCAGAGCCTGATCAGGTTGATGAATAATTATGTTAACACAATAAGCTTCACACCTTTCCTAAACAAAACTGCAGTCTACCTTTGGCTCGCTAGTCCCATTGGATGAAGCACTGGTTTTTTTACAGCTTATGTGTTGCAGCTAACTTTTCCAAAAGTATGACGTTAAAGCAGGAAGTAATAATTTCAGAATTTCTAATTGTTCAGAATTTTGGTATGTCTCAATCCACTGCAGGAAGTTGTCAGATGAAAATAAGCTTTTTTAAGACTGAACATTTAAAACCAAATTTCTCTCCCCGCCTCCCTGCCCCTTCTTTTTTGCAGTACTATTTTGGCAATCACAATCTACCAAGAGACAAGTTCCTAAAGGAACAGATCAAACTAGATGATGGCTGGGTGCCTTTAGAAGTAATGATCAAATTCAACAGGTAAAAAAAGTACAATTAATTTGGATGGAAGGGTAACTTTCAGCTACTTACCTCTATTTGGGGCTAAAAGTCCCTGGTCTGCATGTACAAATCCTATTGCTGCTTCAACATTTGGCTTCAACTTTGCCTGTGTGTTTGTAATAACCTGTGTCTGCTTACTCAATAGGTTAAGTCGCCTTTCAAAAGATTTTAGTGTTATTGTAGAAGCACTAAGAAAATCCAAAACCGGTTTAATGGAAATAAATGAAGACAAAACTAAAATCAGAAGATCTCCCAACAAACCCCTTCCTGAATTAAATGACCAGTATAAGGCTGCAATTAAAAACAGATCTGTATATGTTGTAAGTAAACTTCTTCCTTTGCTCTGTGCTGTTGTGCATGACTTTGAAACCCATCTAAGTAAAGCTTGAATTAACTCATACTAGACAGGTTATAATTTCTGACTAGGTGTCAGTTTGTTGCATACAATTGAAGCTTGTTGCTATCTTGCAGAAAGGCTTTCCGCTAGATGCAACTCTTGATGATATCAAAGAGTGGCTTGAGGATAAAGGTCCAGTTGAAAACATTCAAATGCGGAGAACGTTGCAGAGAACGTTTAAGGTAGCTCTTGTGATGAACGGTTAGACCTGGGGCAGGGAGCTCCCCTGGACAACATTCTGTTCAATTACTCTAACACTGAATGTCTCTTACCATTTAACAGGGCTCAATATTTGCAGTTTTTGATAGCGTTGAATCTGCTAAGAAGTTCACAGAAATCCCAAACCAAAAGTACAAAGACACAGAGCTGATAGTACTTTTCAAGTAAGTCCACTTAACTGATGTATGAACCAGTAATAATGGTCAAGGTTGGATTTAGACAAGAACCTGTCTTGACCTGAGAAGTGTAAGTTTCTACCGTGTTGTACAGGTATTGATAGCTGTACCTTCTGGAGACTAGCATCTCAGCTCCGAAAGATCATCTCGACTGTTTCTTGGCTCTTGCTGTCTTATAAAGTAGTTAGAATACTTTAAGTGGTATTAACTTAGCTTATATGTTGTTGAAGGGAGGAGTATTGTACAAAGAAGAATGAAGAAAGAAGACAAAACAAAGTAGAAGCTAAAGCAAGAGCTAAACAGTAAGTCATTACCAGTTGGAAGTGTCTGGTTTTGCTCACCTGACCACACTTGAACCAACTCTTAACTAATTTAACTTTTCTACAGGGAAAAAGAAGAAAAACAGAAACAAGCAGCAGATGCTGAAATGGTATGGATTTCTTAAATGTCTATACCTAAAAACCATGCAATGCTTGCTTTTGTATGGATTTTCAGTCCACACATAACAAACATGCTCCTGCAGCTACATTTTGTAAAGCTAACACGTGGGATATTCAGATTTTGAAATTCTGTAAAATAGAGCACTTCTAGAAAGTCACTTCAGCTCTTCCAACTAACCTACAGTAAGACTTTGTTTTGTCATGGTATTTAATCTTATTTTCAAAAGACTAGTTTTGTTTAAAGGATCATATCCTGAATTTAAATTATTAGGCATGTTTACCTGTTCAGAAGTGATCCTAAATGCAACATTGAGATGATCGTTCTTCTGTGGTATTTAAAGGATGCAGTAATTTAATCAGTATTATATAGATTTTGGAACCTGAGGTTGTCAGCCTTCAGAAAACTGTTTTGTAGAATTTAAAGAGTGTAACTGCCTTACAGGAAAGGAGTCCTAAGTTCCACATAAATGTATCATAGTAAGCAAAGAAAATTTAAAAAAGGGGGGGAAGGAGGGGAGGACACACCATGTAAGACCTGTACATCAGCATAAATGAGCTATGTAGCAAGAATGCTTGGTGCTAGTGGTGCTAAGGGAGGTGACATCAATTGCTTATTTATCACTATCATGTTTTAATAGTCTTAGGATTGAGGGGGAAAAATGAATATTCAAGTTTGACTCTTCCACAAAAGTGTGGGGTTTTTTATTTCATTTAGAAGTCTCTGGAAGAAAAGACAGGATGTCTTTTGAAGTTTTCTGGTGATCTAGATGATCAAACATGCAGAGAAGATCTCCACGATGTGTTTTCTGATCACGGAGAAATCAAATGGATACACTTTGTCAGAGGTGCGAAGGAGGTCAGTAGAATCTTAGACAAGGAGTTAGGATCTCTGTATTAAAGTCTGAAACTGAATGATTAAATGCTTATTCTGTTACATAATCAAATAATAAATTGTTTATTTGACTTGCAGAATTGCAGAATATTTAGAGAATTAAATTATTCCCTTAAATTTTTTCAAAAGACCAGATAAAGCTTCCAGCCTTCTCAGCCAATAAGGTCAAAGCTGACACTGAGAATATTTGTTAGGCCAGTCTAAGGGTTTTGCTTCAGTCTGAACGTATTTTACGTCATGCAAGAGTAATGAATTTGCTGAGGTACCTGACAGGATATGTTGTTCATTATACTAGCTGAATGTTTTCACAGTAAGATTCAAATGCAGATGGCACTCTTCTTTTTAAGGGAATTATCCTATTTAAGGATATTGCAAAAGAAGCTCTGGAAAAAGCCAAAGAAGCACATAACGGAAACTTACAGCTTCGGAACAAGGATGTTACATGGGAAGTGCTAGAAGGAGATGCAGAGAAAGAAGCTCTGAAAAAAATATTGGAAGATCAGCAAGAATTGTTGAAACAGAAAACAAAAGGTCCTGCTTTTATTGGTTTAAGTGCTTATAATGTCTGAGAAGTGGCATTGTGTAAAAGTAACTGTGAATAGTGAATACATACTAAACACTACTAACTGTAAAGCATTCTTTTGAGCTTGCCAGTTAAAAGACAAACGATACAAGTTCCTGACATGTTATATCCCCACAGGACGCAAAATTAAAGGAAAAGGAAGAGGGGGAAAGATACTTCAGGGTGCACAGAAAGGAAAAATACAATTTCAGGGCAAGAAAATAAAGTTTGAAAATGAAGAAGGTGGTGAAGATGATACTAAACCAGGTATGCCATTCTGTGTGCTGGATGCAGCTTCTTTAGTACTTGGAGCCACTTTCTGGAGAAGTACTCATGTTTCTTACAAGTGTTTCAGATCTGGCCCTACATTGTAGTTTTTCTGTCCACTTGTCAGTAAAGTAACTTTAAGGGTCTTGTTTCCTTCCAGAACTATCCAAAAAGCGTATTAAAATAATTACTAGATAGCTGAGGCTGTACTGCAGGGCTCTTCAAAGCATTCTTCATTGAAAGACGGTGGTTGTCAGCAACATTACACAACTGTACAGAGCCAGTCTCTTGAGTGGTGATTTTTTTTTTTCCTTGAGGATATGGGAAGACTAATAGCTCTGCATATTGGTATTTAGCTTGGAGAAGATGAAAAGCTAAGCTTCTGTTCATTAGATATGGCACCTGCTTAAACAAAACCCAGTGAAACCTACTCCTGTTAGATTGTATTCCTTCATCTTCTTACCCGCCCTCCTGCTGTGAATTTATACAGGGAAGAAGCTCTTCAAAGTTGTCATCTGAAAGCTTTAAGTCACAGTAATAAGTAAACCCTGTAGCATAGCAGTGGCTGTGGATAAACTAGGACTCATCCTTGAACTTACATGGTAGGAAGGGTTTGTTTTTTCAGAAGATTTCAGGTAATACTGAAATGTTTTCCTTTACCATAAATGACTACATATTCAATCTTGCAGAACCAGCAAGTCCCAAGAAGAGACCGCTAGAGGAAATAGAAAAAGAAGAACCTGCACCAAAACAACTGAAAACAGAAAATGGAGATGGAGATCAGTAATACTAAAATAAAATTTAAAAAATCATTGTTTTTATTGTTCCATTTTCAGTAGGTTTTAAAGACATGCCTCAGTTCAGGAATTTCTTGGCAGAAAATCTAATGAAATCCACTTCAATGTCAACCTACAATGAGAGGAAAGCTTCATTTTGTTGGGTTACAGCTTTTTTTTTTTTTTTTTTAAACAGCATGCTTACTCTTGACATACCACCCTGGGAAACTCCCTTTATATTTATAGTTTTGTTTATACTGTCAGATCCTCTCAACTTCTCTGGCACCTCATTCAAATGTAAAATGTTCTAGACTTTGTAATCTTGTGGTTACATTAAATAGCTGCTGCCAATAAATTCAGAACTTAAAACTGCTTACTACAGAACCCCGGATGTTAATGTAGTATAAAGCTGTAACTGTGAAGTAGCAAAGCTGAAGGACAGACTTCCATCATTTAAGCTCAAGTCACCAAGAGAAATAGGTACAGCTTGAATAAAACTTCCAGTCTTGGCTACTCAACAGACCTAACAATCTTCAGATCTTCCTCAGTCTATTCCAGGATTCTTATTCCCCTTTGGTAATGGGATACATGTCTTCTAGGCCAGCACTCAGTGCCCAGGAACTTGCCTGTGGGCTTAAGCTTCCATAGTCTAGCATCCTGACTGGATCTTCCATTGTGGGATGAGTGCACAGCTTCTTCCTGATCCCTCTAAGATGGCTCTATGAGGGATTTCACTGGCTGTAGCTATTCGCAGTACAGAGCATAGAACAGTGAAATAATGCTACAGCTGTAAAATCCTAGTTACTCTGGCCTTCGTTACTTAATTCAGTCTAAGTTCCAGTTGCAGATAAGATCAAGGAAATAACTATTAAAAGTTGAGTCCAGGAGGCTACCCTTAGCTTTTTCCATATCTAGTTGCAGTGCTGGCTTTAATCTTTGTGTATAGCTTTGATTTGCATTACGATGATTCTTTTCCCCATTCAAGTACAAAATGTAGTAACAGCAATGGAGCTTGATGCCATCATAGTGAACTCTCAAGTGCTGTGAGCATTCCTCATCCAAGTACCTATGGCCCTAGAACTTAAATTTTCTTAAGTAGAATTTATTTACCTGCTTAGTACAAGACAACGTTATCTCAGTTATGTTAGGTGTTATACTTACAGACTTCTTCTTATGGAACTTGTATGATGCTGGTAGGTCATATCTAAGTTCTGTGAATAGTACAAAGAATACTTGTTACACTAGAACAATTACTGGTCAGTTAACTTACACCCTACACCCACGTTCTTCCATTTCTTCTATTGCCCACCTCTTGCCTCCTGACTAGATACATGGTTTTGACCTCTGGACTAGATTATGACTGAACATTTAAGCCAACCACATCAGGCAGTAAGTGGATGGCTGAAACGCAGAAATGCAGTTGTGTTTCAAACACTTGTGCAACTTCCATGTCTCAAGTTGCATGACTGTATAAAGCATCCAGCTGGTGATATTTAAGAATCAAGGAGATACTTGAACAACTCAGGAAAATGTTTAGGTGACTATAAGGACAGGATGCTTTTTTGTATGAGAACTGACCTCCACTTTGCTTTTGTTATTCAGCAACAATCTCCTGAAGCAGGAAGGTAGGTAACTTCTGCTTGAAGGTAAAATCTAGTCCAGAAAGAAATCGAATTCTAATTCTGCACAGAATGTATATTCCTCAGAGCTTTATTAAGTGCCTGCTTGTATTCTAGCCAGGTAGCAAGGTATTTAAAAAAAAAAAAAAAAAAAAAGCTGCTTAAAAAAAGACTGGTGTCATTTTCTGCGTGAAATCCCACTTAGATTTACCTCTGTTAAGACTGGCTAGTAGTGTTACAGATATTAGCCCCCAACAAATTTTTTTTCTTTAACAACAAATTAATCTTACCTGCTATGACTTCCATCTTCACTTCCCATTCATCTGTTTTCTTTTGAATGTGCTGCAATATTAAATAGATACAGGTAAATTTAAAAGCTTGTTTCTACACTGTCTTAGAAACATCTACACCCCTATACTTATTTAAGAAGTCTCCTGTGCTGTTGTTTTTCAAGCTGAAACATTAGGTCACATACTTACCTTGAAGTATGCAAGATCACAGTTATTTGACATGATTAGTATTTACTCAAAACCAGTTTCATACCCCATAAAGGTGTGAATAAATCAGTGAAACTACAGACAGTATCATTACATACCAGCTATTTCATTGCCTGGTTAAAGCTCGCCCTACTAAAATGAAAGACTTACCTGCCGTGTTGAAGTTTTGTGAAGGGAATATACAGCTGTTTTTGCCATTTGTAAAGCAGTTTTCAGAAAAATCATATCCATTCCTAAAAGAATGATGAAATTACTAGGATTGTTAAATGCAAGCTTAAAGTAGAGGATTTAAAGATCTGCTTCATGCTTCGATTTTTCTGGAGTAATAGCTATTTGAGAAACAGCACTGAATATATTAAGGTACAGAAAGCATTTCTAAAACTTACCCAATTGCTTTTAGTAAAAGAGAAAAATGAGAAGGATACGAAATAGCTATTATTGTTTATTTCAAACCCAGCAACTGTTGGTTACAATGCTAAAGTTGTTAATCTGTACTCAGGAAACTGATTCCAGATCAACAAAACTTTAGGCACTTACAATACAGAATTGTAATAAAGAAGGGAGATGTTTCATTAAAAGTGTTTCCCTTGCTATTTCATTCCTAATAATTTCTAACTGACTTTCAGAATTACCAACCTTTATTATGCTTGGTACCAAATGGAGGGTTCATGATAACTGTGTCAAAAGTGTCTGACATGCTGTCAGATAAAGAACAGACATCACACTGAACCATGTTGATGTTCGTGAGCTCAAAGTCTTCAATATTGCTATTAAATATTTCCAGTGCATCTGCATCTATGTCAAACCCCACACAAAATCTATTAAAAAAAAAAAAAAAGTGCCATGTATTAGTCTCCTGCAAACTAATACGGTGTTTAAATTCTATAGTAAAGTTTTGAAAGGGATCTGTGTACACAACTTGTTTTATCTAGGAAATGTAACAAGCATACACTATAAATTCAGTGCTGATAATGTGAGTAGCTCTGTTGCCCTTTCTCAAATATCCTTTCAAAGTTTGTGAAGGAAGTTTCATGTGTTCATTTAGTGCTTCAGGGGAAAGCAAACATTATGATTTCCAAATTCATGGCAACTGTCCATCTCTGCCACTATTTGAATGGTTATTGACTGTCTAAACCTATTAAATAGCCTTATTACACACCAGATTAGATACCTAAAATTAGTTTCGTTCAGCATTGTTATGTTCTAATCTTATTTTCTACTCTTCTATGCCAGAAAAAAACACAACCAGAACTTGGTATTAAATACTTACCCTGCTCCTAACATTGCACTTCCAATGCTGAGCATGCCACAGCCACATCCTAAATCTGCAATTGTTTTGTTTTCAATATCATCAAAAGTATTGTGAATTGTATAAAGCATACGTGCTAGGGGAAAAAAAAACAAACCACATGTCAGTATCAAATATGCATTTAATTAATCAAGAAAAGCTACTTCTGCCTTCAGAAAACTCCTGCAAGATTAATCTGATGATCTCACTGCCTGTAATTCTGTTTTCATTTATATATGAAAACAAGTCAAAAACATTTTGACAAGTTATAGAAGTCTAGATCTTTGGTGGAGAGATTATACATAGAGCTGTGAGTATTGTTTGTGGAAAAAGTATACCTCTAGATTCGTTTGGGGAAAAACAATAGAAGTATGTAAATACTGAAAAAAAAAATAATTAAGGTATGGATGAGTGTATATATGCTTTTACTGTTTTTTGTGTGTCATGACTTAAGTCCATTTCAGCTTTCTCATTTACAGATTAAGATGCTTCTATCACATTATCTTTTAAATCAATTTACTTCATTTTTTGATTCTACATTAACAGTATACGTCTAATCAAAAGAAGTTAACAGGTCATTTAAAATTAATTACATTCCT